AACTTTATGTTCCTCAACATGCTGTCATTACATCACTGTGTGTTTCCTCTGATTCTTCTCACTCTCACAGGTCTGCTCACCTACACAGGAAACTATGTTCAATTCAAATGATCCATTAACGTCAATTATTGATTGAAAAACGTTCTCTCTTCCTTCAGGTGTCACATGTGATCAGCTCACTCCGGTCAAAGATGAAGAGTCCAGTGTAGAAGGCAGCACAGTTACTCTGACCTACAAATACACCACAGGTGCTACTTATTTCTTCTGGTATCGACAACATCCAGGAAAAGCACCTGAGTTCCTGATCTCACACTCTACTTCAGGAAAAGTAGGAACAGAAAATATTCCTGGACTGAAGATTCAAGTGGAGGGAAAAGAAATCAAGATGAGCATCTCCTCTGCTGCAGTGTCTGACTCTGCTGTGTACTACTGTGCTCTGCAGCCCACAGTGACAGGAAACAGCAAAACTCTGTACAAAAACCTTTGGAGCAAAGACAACAGAATACTCCACAACATCCACTAGAGGGAGCCACACACTGTTAAACTTCTCTTGTTCGTTTCATTCAGATTCATTTGGCAACAGTGGGAAGGAAAAATTGCTTTTGTATCATTAAGAAACCTCCAGCAGAAACAGGCTCATCTGGGTGACCAATGAGAGGAAGACAGGACAAAGACCCACTGTGGAAGAGAGCCAGAGATGAATAATAACTACTGATTCAATGCAGAGAGTTGTGTAAACACATAGTGAGTGAAGAAGAAACACTGAGTGCATCATGGGAATCCTCCAGCAGCCTAAAGCTATTGTGAAGTAACTATAAGCCTCATCAATAATATAGTTTAATATAAGTGAAGCATTTAAATAAACTGCAAAGTAAGTTAAAGTAACATCGACGAGAGTTATTTCCTGTTGGATCACACACCAACAGGAAAAATGGGACCAACCAGGATTAGCTCGGAGTCTCTTAGTGGAGTTTGAGGACTTTCTCCCCTCCACCTTCAAGCTGGGAAGAATCCTTCTGCTGGAAGATTTTCATTTCCATGTGGCGGACAGTTCATGCCACGCTGCTTCTGTCTTCATCTCGTAGACTCTTTTACTCTTACCTAACATGTGACTGGGCCAACACACAGCGGTGGCCACACCCTGGCTCTGATTCTGTCGTTGGGTCTGGATATGGGACCAGTCTGTCGGGAGGACATTTTTATTAGTGATCATAAACATATTTTACTTGATCTCTCGTGACACTCTGCCCTTTGTTCATGTGAAGCATTCACCACTAATTACTGACTGTGTGGTAAAATAATTTCCTTTAATCTACAAGCATTTAGGAATTGCTGAGCTAATTACACAGATAATAGAATCACTGCCGGTGTTGTGCCAAAAAAGTGTTTGCCTGCCAAACCTGATTTCCAGTGTTTTCGTGTGTAATATATTTATGATAAATGGTCTGTATTTGTATAGTGCTTTACTCGTCCCTAAGGACCCCATTACACTACATCCAGTCATCCACACATTCACACACTGGTGATGGCAGCTACATTGTAGCCACAGCCGCCCTGGGGC